CCAAATCTATTATGTTCTTTGAAGGACAGAGATCGGGGAGACTTCCTCCTAATCAAAGGATTACTTGGAGGAGAAACTCTGGGCTTTCAGATGGCTCTGCTGCTCATGTACGTGTTCATTTTTTCCTTTTTTTGCTGAAAGATTGTCAGTTTTGCGATTTTTTGCTTGCTTTAACTGGGTTTTGTTTAAATGACAATGCAGGTTGATTTGGTGGGTGGGTATTATGATGCAGGGGATAATGTGAAGTTTGGGTTTCCAATGGCATTCACCACCACCATGCTTTCTTGGAGTGTTATTGAGTTTGGTGGCCTTATGAAAGGAGAGTTGCAGAATGCAAAAGAAGCCATTCGCTGGGCTACAGATTATCTTCTCAAAGCCACTGCTCACCCTGACACCATCTATGTTCAGGCATTTCTCAAAATCCTTACGTTTTTATCCCAAACAATGCCGTAGAGGGCCCAACGGGTCGTGAACTACATTACTACAACGTCCTAACCGCATAGTTTGACGCCCAGTTCAAAACTTTGCCGAATCTTATTCAGAAATAGGATGTGAAATTGGGTTGTGTTTTGGGCAGGTGGGAGATGCAGGGAAGGATCATGCTTGTTGGGAGAGACCTGAGGATATGGACACTCCAAGAAGTGTGTTTAAGATAGACAGAAACACCCCAGGTACTGAGGTGGCAGCTGAAACTGCTGCAGCTCTTGCGGCAGCCTCTTTAGTCTTTAGAAGAAGTGACCCCACTTATTCCAAGCTCCTTGCCAGAAGGGCCATCAGGGTATGATTTATGGTTTGATAATTTTCTACCACACATTCACACAATAAAATATTCTACATGTACAACAAAAATTTTTTCCTACTTTTAATCACACGTTCTCCTAAAAATCATTGTTCAAAACTCTTTTTTCTACAATAATGATTGTACGGACTCTAAATATTAACAATTTAATGCAATAAGATTGAATTATTTTATGTATTTTTATGTTTGGTTTGTAGGTGTTTGAGTTTGCTGATAAGTACAGAGGTTCATACAGCAATGGGCTGAAACCATATGTCTGCCCTTATTATTGTGATTTTTCTGGATATCAGGTGATTCATTTTTTTCTGTTATTTTTCTTGCATTTTGCACTAGTATCCGTCCCCAAATTTATACGGAACAAGATAGTTTGCCGTGAATTTGTCACTGATTCTGATCATTCAAGGATGAGCTGTTGTGGGGTGCTGCTTGGTTGCACAAGGCCACCAAGAATCGAATGTACCTTAACTACATACAAGCAAATGGACAGAACCTTGGTGCAGATGAATCTGACAATACATTTGGTTGGGACAACAAGCATGTTGGGGCTAGAATCCTTCTTTCGAAGGTCACTTTCATTCTAAATTACTTTTTTAGTCTTTTTGTATGATCAATTGATGGTTTAAGTTACAATTTATGCTGCAATTTTCAGGCATTTCTAGTCCAAAAGGTTCAATCCCTCCATGATTACAAAAGTCAAGCAGATAACTACATTTGTTCCCTAATTCCAGGGACCCCTTTCTCTTCAGCTCAGTACACCCCAGGTTTGGCCCTTCCGTCCTTCCCTTTACTCATTCTTTCCTATTCGGTCGTGCCTAGTTCTGCATGCCGAACACGTCCTTAAAAGTTCAGAGACATTCTAATCGAGTGGAGGGAAATGTTATCAGGTGGGCTTTTGTTTAAGATGAATGACAGTAATATGCAGTATGTAACATCTACCTCTTTCCTGCTGGTCACTTATGCCAAGTACTTAGCCTCTGCCCACATGGTGGTTAATTGTGGTGGAGTCACTGTCACACCAAAGAAGCTTAGATCACTTGCCAAAAGACAGGTATGAAAGGTTTCCTACAATGATACTTTTTTGAGTAAATTATTTGTTAATAACTTATTTTTCTGTAATCTTTTACTAATGTTCTCTGTACAGGTGGACTATTTGCTAGGAGACAATCCCTCGAAAATGTCCTTCATGGTGGGCTACGGTGCAAGGTATCCACTGAGGATACACCACAGGGGATCATCACTCCCTTCCAAAGCCACACATCCAGCAAAAATCCAATGCTCCGCGGGATTCAGTATAATGAATTCCCAGTCCCCCAATCCCAACATCCTGATGGGAGCCATTGTTGGTGGGCCCGATCAACGCGATTGCTTTCCGGATCAACGGTCAGATTACGAGCAATCGGAACCAGCCACTTATATTAATGCACCCGTTGTTGGATCCTTAGCATATCTTGCTCACTCATTTGGCCAACTCTAAGAAATTATCAGATTACAGCCCTTTTCTTTTAGATTTCCTTTTTCGGTTTATTGTTGATTAGTACTAATTGTGATCGTATGTTTTTCTACGCATTGCATCAAGCTCGACCTGAAGATCCACAACAGTACCAGGCTGATTTGTTGGGGTCGGTTCAGGTTTGGTCGAGTCGCATGACCGAGACTAAAGAATTTTGGAGTCATAAAATATTATTATGCGAACAGTTGTTAAGGTTGCACGGTCTATGATGTTTGTATTCCTCATTATTAAGGATGTGTCATGGTATTTTATAGAGTAATGGATGATTGTGACGTTTGAAGGATGACTTCCACGCTATTTATTCATTTGTATTTGTATTGGATGGATTTGGAATGTTAATTATCTCGATTCTCTTGCATTTAACAATGACTAGCACCAAAAATAGTGTAATTACCTTGAATATTGCATTTATAATTTAATTACTTTGAATATTGATTATATTAAGGTATGGATATATTAGAAAAAACGATACTAAAATTTATTGCTTTAACTATAATTAATTTTTCTTAATTTGAGTGAAAAAAGAAATATGAACATCTTTATGGGACGGAGGGAATAGTTAATTTTAGATTTAAAAGATAAAAACATTTTATTAGTTTGATATTAAATTAATTAATTAAAATTTCAAACCTAAAGAATGAAAATCAGCGTTTTTGTTTTTTTATTATTATTATTTTATTTTACGCGGATTTAAAAAAAAAAAGGGATATAGTGGGGTGCAGTTTGGAGGGATTGTATTGTCCGTTGCATATGTGGGATGAAATTTGGCGGGTAAGGATTCACATCGTACACAGCATGTGATGTGGGGGATTGTGAGTCACGTGGTCTAAAGGCTGCAAACACTGTACAGATGTGAAAATTTGACTGGAAAAGTTAAGCTAATCTTACGTGTCACATGCCAATTCGTCTGCACTCTACCCAGAGCATGCTATTTTTTTTTTTTTTTTGTGAGAATAAGAGCATGCTATCTTGTTTGTCTCCTTCAAAATAAAACCATAATTACCAAACCTATTTTCAAATAGAGATGCTACAAGTACAGTTCGGGTGACAGTTCGGATCACAGCCCTCTCACATTCACGGACCCCACCGTTTTGTGAGAGGGCTGTGACCGGAGCTGTGAAGTTCGGACTGTACAAATAGACAAATTCATTTTCAAACACATTTATATAACAAAACATCTTGTACGCGAACTTCAAAAAGTTTCCTACTTTTCAATGATATATTTTTTTTAAAAAATCACTATTCAAAATATTATTTTTTCTCAATAATGGCCATCGAACATGGGCCTAAATGTTATTTAGATAATAAGGGTCGTACTAGACCACGAGGTGTAGACGCAAACCACCTCAAGATCAACGTTGATGTCCTCCGGTTTACGCTTCTAGTGTCAAGATGGTTCTACTAATATTGAGTCGAAGTCAAACTTGGACAAGGGATATTGGATTCCTTGATAAGCATTAATAACTATTATGTATTAGCATCCGTTTGACAATCATTTTTTGGAAATTTTGAGCTTTTGAATATATTTTTTAAGAATGCGCGATTAAAAAATAGTAATTTTTTTGGAATTTACATGAAAAATATTTCGTTGTGAGAATATTTAGTTAAAAATTAGTATGAAAAAAAAGTTTTGAATTGATTACCAAACAAGGGTTTAGCCATATGATCTTGTACTATTGAGAGAAACACGAAAGCAGAAGAAAGTAAGCAAAACATTTCATCCGTCCCATTGAAATAAGCTATTTTTGTTTTTCACACGAATTTAGAAATTTTATTTAATATTATTGAAAAAATATTTTTTGCCAAAAACTTTTCAAACTTATCCTTATTTAATTATCAACAACTAATAATAAATTATTATTAAAAGTAATAAAGAAATTGAATGATTTATTTTTTAAGAAGTAGGTATCTTCAAATTTGTACAATTTCAAGATTAAGTAGAAAAAATTGATTATAATTAGACAAATTAAATAAGGGTATATCAGTAAATGAACAAAACAAAACATCCATAATAAAAATAAAAAAGGACTATATGATTGGGAAAAAAAATCAGCCTATATAAATAGAACGAAAAAAGTCCATTTTTAGGGCAGTTCAATCACAATACAACAGTTAAAACAAGTGTCCTTGCAAAATTTCCACTTCACAAAGAAAATGATGATTATAAGTTGTCCATTCAGAGAGAGAGAGAGAGAACACAAATGATGCTCACATTATCTTAGATCTATCAACATTCAAACATGAATAACATAATTAAATTTCATACATTTAGGCCTAGATCTCATCAAATCGCTAGAATCTCGAGTGAATCAAAAGTTATATAGCCTCACACTAAGCTTAAAAACATTTGAAGAGACAAGTCACAGTGAGTTGGGCTCTTCAAGCCAAAAGCTCACTTGAACCTTTTCAAGTTCTTTTGCTCAAAAGCTAACCCTCCATCTACAAACGATATAAACACCGAGTCTTTTTTTTTGTTTTTAAACACGCTTCACGATCTATATACAAGAAACAAGTCGACTAAATCTTGTACAACTTCAACATATTTATTACATTGGAGAGGTTCAACATGTCTAAGTACCTTCAAGGTTCCTCAAATCCCAACAACAGAAACATCACTCTTCTACACATACATATAATTTGATCATTTCTTTAGGATCAGCAGCAGATTGAGATGCTTCCTCTGCACCCTTTCTACTGTGGATCATCAACTGCCAAAGGAACAGATTTTACCTGAAACAGGCAATGGCCAACGCATTATAGAAATTGTGTTATACCCAAGCAGAGTGAAATTAAATTGCTTTGTGATGTTTGAAAATATTTCTTATTAATGCAATCTATTACATCAGAATGTATATTGGCGAAACTTATTTATGCATTTTCAATGCTAAAAATGCTACCAACAAGATAAGAAATCTCACCAATTCACGAAACTTGAGAATGTAGAACATCTCAAGATAACGTCGAGTTTCACTGCGCTCGAGTTTTGATACATATTTCCAAAAGCCATAGACTCCAGCCAATGTCATCAGCCTCTCGGAGTAAATTCTCCATGTATACCTTCACCAAAAAGGTTGAGGATAACCAAGGACTACTAAAACTCAATAATGCAAAACAATTTCTATAAATGCACCAACTTTAAAAACTGCAACCTACAGTTCACGTTTCCCTAAGCTCCAACAAAATGTTAATAGGTTAAAATAATTAGCAATCTGTCTGTTCAACTTCTGGTTCCCGTGATAGGTTTTGTGGTTCTGAATAATGCCCTGTATATATTCAAAGTGAGGTCACCTGTCTTGTTTTTCAAATTTTAAGATTGGATTTATTGACATCTATTCACTCTTTATGATTCAAAAAGAAAAATGTTGGGCTTAAGTTTTTGAAAAAGTACCAAGTTACTTTAAGCAACTTCTTTAACATGCTTGGCGAAGCCCAACGGAGCCTTTTTTTTAAGACAACATGGGTTTCTCCTTTCATATTGTCAAAAAAATCCCTTTTGAGGGGTTTTTAAGCTTACCCAAGCATCTCTGTCTCTAAAATATTTGGAAATATTCCTTTTTCTTTGATTTAAGTAAGAAAATTACTTACTTTGAAAGTATCTTACTTTAACGTCAATACAATTAATGGTTTATTTTCAACTGTGACCAAGAAAATAAATTATTAATTTTAAAACTAACTTATTCACTTATGACATAAATTTTAAAGCTTAATTATGTAGACATGCTCTTAATCATCCAGCTGCAGAAAATCCAGTTATAAATCAACTACAGAGATGGTGTCCTTCACAAAGTACATTACCTCTCATGAATTCTTCGAAGAGATCCTTCAGAAATCTTAATCCAATAGCTTGGATCTTCATTGCATTTTTGAAAGAAATCCGCCATTAGTTCAGCAGCCTTATCAGGATGATATGGATCAATGTTAAAACCGGAAATGCCATCTTCAATTATTTCCAAAGGACCACCATGGCAAGTTGCAAATGTTGGAAGGCCACAGGCCATGGCCTCAACCACCGTAAGTCCAAAAGCTTCATAAAAGGCAGGCTGAATGGAAAATAAATAATTGTTGTTTGGTAAAACAATTCATTCGTTGAACACAAATTTAGATGCAATTGTCACAGGCAAATAAAGAAATCAACATAGATATCATGCCTAACTAAATATTTAAGTGCGTCCTCTCCAACCATAATTGTTTAAACTTTTAGATGATGTGATGCAATATGGCATCATAGTAGGATAGGTATCGTGCTCAAATCCCGTTGTCACCCATTTATAAAAATTGTGCATGTGTCGGGCGTGTTGAAAAAAGTAAATCCAACCTACACATAAAGGGGAGCGTTGAAGACTAAGAGCATGTTCGGAAGTGTTTATAAATGGTTTAAATTATAAATAAAAGAAATGTGGTGAATAAGTGGGTAATACTTGTGGGTCCTTCAAAATGTGGAAATAAAAAGCTGCTACAGTGTTTATAAACAACTTAAATAAATAAATTATGTTGTCTCTCCTCTAACAACTATTCCTTATAGATGAGAAGATGTGAATTTAGATGCAATTTTGTCCAACAAATAAAGAAATCAACGCGAAAATCATACCTGAACAAAAATCCCTCTCTTGTCGGCTATGTAGCGATACAGTTCACCATTACGCGCTCGATTTGTTTGGGCTGCTATCCATCTTATCTGGCCGCCTAGATTGTATTGCTTAATTAGAGAATGCATTTTCTCAATTTCTGCAATTTCTTCTCTATCATTTGATTTTTTTACATCAATGGAACCTGCCACCACAGCCAAGTTCGCCAATTCTCTGAGCTTGGGATTTTTAGCATAAGACTCCACCAATCCCGTAATGTTTTTAACCCGGTCGAGCCTTGCCATGGAGAAAATTATGGGTTTCGACTGATCTTTCAATATACCACTGCATCAAGCAGAGAACGGTTGAAGGTAAAGTGAAAAGGCTATCTACAAATAATATCCTCCATTATGATACTTGCTTTCACAGAGAGGAAATGTATATCAGACACTGCATCAAGCAGAGTACTGTTGAAAGTAAAGTAAAAAGGCTATCTACAAATAATATCCTCCATTATGTTGCTTTCACAGAGAGGAAATGTATATCCGCTAAAATTCAAATATTTAAGCTATTTAGCATAATTACAATAATGCTTTTGGGGGTCAGAGCACGGATATTTAGACTCCAGTCTTGAAACAATAACCATATAGTATGTCTTGTAAATGTCTCTACATATAGTGCAGATATGACTAACAATTTCGAGATTTTAAATGTAGAGTTTAACATTATGAAATCTATTGCAGCACATTAAACATAAAATGTCAGGGTGTTTGGTAAAATTATGCAAGTTTAGTAACTGAAAATTATACCAAAAATCAATGAAAAACAACACTTATATCAAACTTCTTGCATGGAAAAATCATGCTCATCACCAATGCAAGGAGGATGACGATCACAGCAAAGTTCCATGATAGTTTATCAAATCATTCATATGAATTTTTCATTCTTCCAATCAATTTTTGTAATTTGAAGAAAATGCCTAATCAACCGGGCACTTACATGTGCTCATCATTCTGCTCGGGATCATATAGCAACTTTTCAATTGTACCATGAAGAGAAGTAAGTCTTCTCTCCTTGTCAGAATATGGAAAATAAATGCAGTCATCTGCTCCTGGAGAAACTATATTAAACTTGGGATCAAACACATCGATGCCATGAACAACGCGGTATAGGCCTGGCAGAGTGAAAGCCGTATGACTTTCATACTGACCAACAGTATTTTTCCTGAAAATAGATCATCAAAAAGAACCGATGAGACCTTGAATTACCATTACTAAACACATCTGCATTAACAGGGCAAAAATAACATGAAAATAAAGTTGATCAAGAACATTTCCTTTCTTCCAAAGTGTAGTTGAAGTACAATGTACACAATCAAGTTACAAGATCCTGCAATAGGAAATCATATATACAATTATATGTTATGGATTAAACCTTAACCCTAACACCAAGATCAGTAATAAACAAATAAAAATCAGAAACACACAAAGCAAATACATTATAGTGGATCACCCTCAATGTTGGAGAGATGATAACAGGCTATTGCAAATTTCTCACCCTAATGAAGAATGTTCTTACAAGAGTTATCACGTCTCTGTCTTGTCTATTCAAGAAAATTCCCCAACACCCCTACCCAAAAAAAAAAAAATTCCTTATTAGGGTAAGATATACGAATGCACGATATAGCCATGTAATAGTGTACAGTTCCATTAGGCTCCACCCAGCTACCCTAGAAAACATTGGATTTCTTTTCATCTCTATGAGTGGTATCTCTACAATATGAACAGAGAGCAATCACTGGAACACATTGCACAATAGTACATATGCAGTCTATTCAGAGAAGGAACTTAGGATTTGGACCCAATTAAATTTTTGACATTTTGCAGTACAAAAAATTAGTACTATATAAAATTCAATTGAAGAAGCATAGGAGCACCAACTTGCTCTGTTCAAAAATGGAAAATAAAAGCTCTAAAAGAAGTGAAAGAATAGATACAGTTGGTTTTCAATCAACTCTAATTTAGTTTTGTTTCAGGTAAATTATTTTGGAATGAAGCTAAGGAAAAGAACGATCATAGTAGCCTCAATTTCTACTTTATCATGCAAGAAAAAAAATAATGGATATGGTTGTTATTATATTAATGGATAATGCAGAAGGTAGACTTACGTTCCTGCAATTTCCTGGTATGTACTTGTGATTATAAAATCTGAATTATTCATGGCTAGTAGATCGGCAGTGAATTGACAAGCGAAATGGTATTTGTCCTCAAATTTTTTCCAATATATGTCAGAATCTGGATACTTTGTTTTCTCCAAGGCATGCGCAATAGTGCACTGAATCGGGGAAAGGAAAAAGTAATTTTCAGGAAAAAATTTCATGCAATCAATCGTGGCAGAAAAAAAAATCAATATTCACCTGTGTGACTCCCGTCTTATAAGCTAAAAGGGATGCAACAAGATTCCCGTCACTGTAATTGCCTATAATTAGGTCTGGGGCCCCCTGCAGCTCTGCCGAAATTTCATTTGCAGAATCCTGATGATCAAACAAGGTAATGCAGATGATATGTTGAAAAAAATTGGAATCAGGACAAGATCCAAATAACACAATCATTTAGTTGCATTAGTGAGGAAAATATATAAATGTGTAGTTGTTCCAGCCAGGATGTGAATGGAAGGCATCGATTTCATACCAAAACTGTGTTAAAAGCAGGAAAAATCAAGCAATCCTTGTTGAAAATTATAGATGTAAACAAATTAAACTCCTCTCCTCTTTTAACACACTCAACTTTTAGATGAGGTGGATCCACATGTTACTAGAGCACGCAAAGGTCCAAGATCAACGCCACTCATTTATGAAAATTTGACATATAAGACCTTTGATAAAAGAACTAGTCCTGACCATTTTTGCTGCAAATGTTATCCTTTATCTTGAGCAGGATCTAAAGGTGTAGTGCAAATATGTAGCTAATTCGCAACTTAGGACTACAAAGAAACTAATATGGAAAAAGTAAAACACAAGCTGACAAACTTCACAAATATGAATTCTGAAAACTGATGAAGTTAGTTCGGTCTTACCTCAGCAAATTTTTCCAAGTAAGGCCATACATCAAACCTTGAAATCCATTTGCGGAGAATTCCATGCTCAGTTCTAAAAGGAATGCGCAGAATATGTGTATATTCACACCCACTAACTCTTTCCAACCGCTGGTTGCATGAGGTGCCTTTTGCATCAGGTATTAATCGAGTAACCTTGCAGAATCACAGAAAAACATGTTTACAGTAACAGAAAAAAAGGCTACATTACCAAACAAAATAGAATAATGCTGAACTAACAGGGCCACGTAGGCCCTGTTAGTGAAGCAAAACTGAACAAAATATCTTATGTATGAGTATTAACAAAAATCAAATATAAAGTTTCTTGAGTATACAACAAGAATTCTAGGAGTGATTTTCAATCCTTGCTGCTTGATTCTCATGATCATCTCATTCTCCAAGGCACGCACTTGATCTAGAATGTATACAATCTGCATATAAGCAAAAGGAGAAATCTTCTAAGTTCCTTTATGCTACATTACTAGTTAGAGAAACACCAATTTTTTCATGACACTTCACATTCAAATCTACAAAACAAGCAAACAATAAAAGATGTATTTCAAATGTTTTTGAAGAGGTGATCTATCTTTTATCATTGATTTCCGTCTGTAAAACGATATAAGCACTTGGACACATCCATGATTAAAATTAACTGAACTTACATTCCAGTTGGCAGATTAGTAATATAAAAGGCAGATGCCCCTGCTATTGCTGTTCAGTCTTGCCAAGGATTGTCAAACATGTTTGGCTAAGCCTAATAAAAGTAGAGTTACTTTTAAGCAACTTGCCAAACATGTTTGAGCATTTTCAGAAGTTATTTTGGGAGAAATTTTCAGTTCAAAATTCTCTAAAAATATTTACTTACTTTCTACAAAAGTACTTTTACCATTTAGCCAAAAATGTTTACACACATTGAGATGGCTATTTGGAAGCAATTAGATTTCTTATAGTTTCCAGTTGAAATGTTGGAGCTTATTAGTTAAGATGTGCAGTGTAATTGGTGCGTCTGGAAGACTGAGAACGATTCTGAGATATATAAGAATATACGAATCCAACACGTGTTCCCCATGCATTACAGCTACATAAAAATGGTTAAACCACAATTACCTGACCACCAGTATCAGGCAAGCCCAAGACATTTGCTTGGCCAAAATATCCATGAACCGACAAAATGACAACATTAAACACCATGGGTACTCTGCCAAGAAATGTTTCTAAAGTGGAAGGGTCAGGAGCTTGGAGGATGTCAGAGAGGAGATGCATCATCTCCAAAACCCTTGCAGCCGTATCTCCCCAACCTCTCTCGAAACCCATCCCTTGCAACCTGCATTCACAATATGTGTTATAATCTACTAAAGTACATATATCTTGAAAGAATGATGCATATATGAAAACTCACGTATATTCAAATTCAGAATAGGGGGTATCTGGTGGTAGCTTAGAGAGATAGTCCTCTGCCTTGATCAAAGCAGACTCAAGCCTCGATATGCGTTGTATCCGATCATTCAACATCAACATCTATATGAATAATGGAGTGTATTAAATATAACATAGCCATTTCATCTGGTAAAAAGCAATAATTTTAGTTTATACTAGAACTTACATGCCCTTTATGCTTGTGTGCTCGAAGGAAATCAAGTAAAGGTTCCAAAGATTCCTTATTGCGAAACATGATTGAAGAAAGATGACGGTTGAGGAACTGGACACCATTGCCAATGGACGAGGATTGAGTCAGGTGAGGAAATGTTGCATTGAATGGCTCAAGATCCAGTTCAAGAACATAGGGGACATCGTTTCTAGCAAATATAGAAAACAGATTACAGTGAGCATCCAGAAATTACTCATCTTCCAAAACTAGGCAAAAATTTGACATCAATAAACAGGAAAGTCACTCACTGTCCATCCACGAGTTCTTCCTTGAATCGTAAATATTCAGAAACTGTCAATTGGTCGATGCTGAGTTCATGTACATTGACATGTACAAATTCCCAAACACCAGGCCTCGGTCGGACAGCTATAGCGACAAAAGGTGGCAGAATTATGGCTTCCTATCACAAAAATTAAAGCAGAAATTTAAGGCATCCAAATTTACAGTTCCAAGAAGAACAAAAAGTTTCAATTTGCTACTCCCAGTTCCCAATATTTTGCTCATTTTTCCCGCAAAACTGAATCCAAAATAATTAGCCGGCCAACAAATCAATTGAACTACATACAAAATACAAACTGACAAAACCCATAATTGAGTTTTAACAATCCTTAAAAAGGTTAAATTAAATCAGCTTACTCAAGAAATAAATGCTATGTCTTCCTCTATTCAAAGTCAGTAATACGCAGAAAGCTTACGGATTTTACTTTTTGACACTGCAGGCCACCACACTAAGACTAGATCAAACTCCAGGTACTTTTATCTCGAGAAAAAAAATTCTAAAAATCCACATAGTTCTCTGAGATAAAATTAAAAAAGAAACCAGAATTAATTTGAATATTGAAAAAATAACCTGAGCAGACTTTAAAATTTCGCCGAAGGGTCCATCACTGAGTTTCTTCTTTCTAGCATCATCACAAACAATGTTGTCCAGCTCATCGATCAGATGATGTGGCTGCAGTATACCCTTCCCCTGGGAGACATATCTTCAAACAAATAATTAATTTTTTTAAAAAAGAAAAGAATAGCGATCAGTAAACAGATAAAATGAAAATAAAAACCCTAAAAGCAGTTTAAACAAAAAAATCATGTTATCTTACAACTGCCAGTTGACAAAAAGTTGCCAGGATTATATTTCTTGTCACGAATTTTCTTTTATGGATTTTCAGAAAATAAATACAAGAAAAAAGTGTACCTGGAAAGGAGAGAGACCAGCTCGTTTCGGTGAGCAGAGAGTGTATCCTCCAACCTCTCTCTCATGCTGGGTAATCTAGCTAATTTTGGAGTCTCCATTGAGAATTTTGGGCTATAATTTCTTTCTCCAACAAACTTTTAATAATTTTTTCCTTTTTTAGGGTTCTTGGAATTGAAAGAAAGTGTGAGATAATAGTATTTTATGTACTGGTAACAGAATTTACAGACCGAAAGAGAGAAAAACCCACACACAACAGAGTGATTCAGAGATAGAAGAAGAAGAGTTAAGCCATTTGTATTGACAGCAAACAAGTTGGCGCGAATTGATTGGTCAAAAAATTATTTATTTTTTTTAAGAGAGTCATTTGACACTATTACTCAAATTGACGTGATTTGATTGATGAAAAAATTATTTATTTTTCAAATTGTGCAACAGCGCATTGTCGTAAAAGTGGTCTATAGCATGATTGTGGAGAGAAAAGGTCGCAATTTTATGTATGCTAGTAGAGTCACGTGCAATGCACGTGCATGCGTTATTCTTCTTGTGTATATTAGCGTTGGAACTGCATATATACACTATAATAAATAGATGGAAGTAAAGTTATGAATGATGTATAAGTGAAGAAGAAATTCTTTTTACAAAATGATAAAGAAAGTATTTTGGACGTTATAAATACTTCAAACTGAAATGTTTACAAATAGAGGACAGGTGAAATAGGAAACTGCTAGTAGAAATAAAGAAACTAACAGAGTAAACATACTTCAATAGAACACACAAAATATACTTGTTACACAATGGGTATTTTCCTGTTAGTCGTTCAGCTTGTTAAGCAGTTCATATACATATCAAGCATACATGAATGAGATTTGAAGTCCAAAAGATAATACAACTTCTCAATTTTAAATGCTCAAAGTGTAACAAAGCCAGTGTTCCATTGGAAGCTAGATGATTCGGTGTCGTTTACTCAGTTGTAGCCAAAAAATGATTTTATTCATCATGGTTGAAATTGCATCACATGAGTTTTTTTAGGGCAATTGCAGCTGTGTCTTTGTCTCCTACTGCTTTTTTAGCTTTCTTGTTCGCGGTGTTGGGGTGTTCATTAGGATTCTGGAATAGAGATCGCTTAGCGGGTGGAGACTGAGGCAACACATTTTTGTTGGAATGTGCAACGTCTTCAACATTGATTTTATCCTTTCCCTTGTTACCAAATGCCATTTCTGGAGTAGCAGACGTTTCAGCTGGATCAAGCATGAATATTATTTCGTATTTGAAATCTGAATAAGCAGTGTATTTTGTTGAGGGTGACCCAGCAGCCATTGGAAGTGCCTTAATGTAAAAGATGTGTTCATCCTCGATATCCAAGCGAATGTCTTCATCATTAGACATGATAGTGTCCTACAAATACGAGAGAATTGATTAGCAACGAAATTTTAATAAATATATGTTTTAGGGAGAAGAAAAATGATGAAGTTGAATAGAATCAGTACATTGGCATTTTTTTTTCATGTGCACGTTTGCAGGACAGCCCAAGATTTTCTCAGCACATTTACCCATGACTGAAGTCTTTAGATTTCCTGTTGAATTTTCCAAGATTACATCAATTCTAGCTCTGTAGCATACACAGATGTTAGCAAAACCGAAAATTTATGGCGGATGAAAATGATGTGATAAGAACTTTAGTTTCAACTGTGAATCGAATAAAGTAAATGAAGTGGTTCAAATTATTGTGTAGTGTGTTGAAGGATGAAGTGTCTACCTTGGAGATGCAATTGAGCTGGTAGATTTGCAAAATCTACAGGAGTAGATTTCTCCTGCTTTGTTGGCATTGGAAACTCTGTTGCAATTGTTGCATGACAGGTACCAGAAGCTTGTGTTTTTGGACTGAACAGTGCCTTGGCTTTTACCCAGAAATATTTGTTCTTTGAAAGTACATGAAGGAAAGTTTAGTGAAGCTATATGATCATATTGATGTAAAAAAAAATAATGAAATGAATTTGCAACATAAGAATAAAAACATTACTGTGAGAATTGAAGACTGGATTTCGAGAATTTGAGTAAATCTGTTTGCAGCTGGAGGTGACAACTTTGAAGGACTTAATAAAGGATAACCTTTCATTGCAGTGATTTCATCGAATTTTTCACTATTGTCGACAGCCCTTTACAACAAGAATTATAAGTAGGAGAAAAGTGTAAGTACTGCAGCACATTTTAGGTAATAGTTAGGTTGTGTGTGCTATTTTGTAACAGAAACTATGAACTGTGATGTTTGCTCAGCAGAACGTGGCATGGGATGAGATAAGGTAGCAAAATAAAACTAATCTCACATGTGAATGTGAATTCCACATGTGAAAGTTAAAGGTAAGTAAAATAAAACTAATATGATATATGAATGTCGTTTACAGGATGTGGAAGGTAATGTTTAAAACTGGAAATTAGTAATGCAAATACAACACTGTACAGGTAAAGAAATTGTAATGTTGGAGACATACTTGATTACAGGGATTGTATAAAATTAATACAGATGAAAGAAATTGGATTAGTCACCATGATTTCATCTCATCCACTTCTTTAAATTTATTATCAATGAAGAAACAAGAATGTGGTCTTGTGGATAATGTCAGCCCTACAAAAGAATCCATATATTGGTAAACATTTTGTATGCGAAGAAGATGGTAAGATATTGGCAGTGATGTTCATTTGCAGGTATGAAGCACTATGATACAATTAAGGTGAACTGAAGTACAAATTTGGTTTGCAGTGAGAAAGCATTAACGTAATTACCGTTGAATGAAGATACTTTTAAGTGGAGTCCTATGATAACTGGTTTCTTAGATATGTTTCGTGCAATTGTAGAGCACTCCTTTTCAACAAAGGCATCCCACATCGTTAGTAGAATTGTTTGGAATCTGAAAGTTTGGAGGAGCAGTTAATATGTAATATTGTTTTGTACAAAATGTGTTATGTAAAAAAAATGAATAAAGAAGATGTTATTAACTTCCTGTCAATGAGGACGATATCTTGCACATATGTTTCTGAACCATCTCTTGTATGGATTAGACGTTTAGGGCGTAAGTCTATGGCGACGGCAAACACGTCTGTAATAATAATAATAAATATAAATATGTGAAGCAGATATTAATGTTTTTGTGAGGGAAAGATTGAGTTATAAATGTAGTAAAAGAAATCTGGTGCCATTAAAAAAGAGTGAGAGAAAGCAAGCTGTACTTAAATCTTTGTCCGTATCCATCACGGTTTCAAATTCATGAAACGGAGTGAACTCAAAAGACGAGAATAGCTGTGCGCTGTTGTCTTCATTTGTTTCTTCCACTCGAGTAGTACCTGAGATGGTCCATTGAATGTCCCCATATGCATTTTTGTACCCTGCTTTTGTATGTTTGACAGATGCATTTGAGATCAAGTAGGTTTTTCCAATTTTGAGATCATCTTTGAAGGCTGCAATAGTGTTGTCCCAAAGGGTAGCCTGCACCTTGTTACCCTGTAGTAAACGATTTGAAAGTGAGGTTTGTTTAATATAGAGATAAGTAGATAACTATATTAAGTGTAATATTCTAAATATTACAGATTTGGTTTAAGTTTACTTTTAAATATGTATACGTAATAGTAACACATGTTATAATGGAGAGTGCAAAGTGATGTTGGTACTATAAAAAATAATAAATTATTCACAAAATAACAATGTGCACTAAAACTTACTCTTTCATCCATGAGGATCAGGTGTTGGTATCTGGTCTGGCCATTTTGTGATGATTTTGGAGGTGCTTTTTCAGCAACCACAACTTTGGATG